GACTTCTGACAGCATCAGGCTGATAAGGGAACAAGTTCTCTCTACTCTAGCCTTCATTAGGCTTCAGAAACATTAGGCCTTAAATCTCGTTTAGTTGCATTTCACCTGTACCCACTGACAGAGATTCAGGTATGTTGGACTTGTTGTAACAACCTAAACTAAAAATACTTCCTAAAGACAAAAATAAATATGGAGGGAGTAACGATTTCCTTCAGATACTTAATTTAAAACATAAAACATTTTAGTCAAAACTAAGTAAAGAAGATGGAAACTTGGTTGCCTTCTTCCTGAATTCTGTTTCTTTGGGGGAAATCACATAGTATTTTTTTTGGCTTTCAGGATGAGCATACAAACCATCCGAAATGTTTTTAGTGTGGAAACTGGTTATCGTCTTTCCGATGACCAAATTGTCAACCATTTCCCAAATCACTATGAGCTGACCAGGAAGGACTTGATGGTGAAGAATATCAAAAGATATAGGAAAGAACTAGAAAAAGAAGGGAGCCCTCTTGCAGAGAAGGATGAAAATGGAAAATACATTTATTTGGGTATGTATTTTTGACTGTTGGCACAAGTCTTGTTATTGATCACACATGGATTATGCATGAAAACATTATTTTGTGTCCTACACTAGGATAGAACCACAGATTAATGCACGTTAAACACAAGCAGAGTAGATGTTGAATTTGCTTTGGGACACTTGTGTAAGCTAGCTACGTTTTCAGGTTACATCTCTATTGTGGTAAGTTCTGTAAGAAAATATTAGTTTGTGAAAGATATCAGAAGGCTTTGAAGAATGGAATCTATTGGGTTTGTTTTTGTGTTTTGTTTTGTTTTTTTTGTCTACAGGATTGGTATGGTATGAATACTGGAAATTCAGGCATCACCCAATTTTCTGCCAACACGCTCAACACACTTTGAACAAACAGCATCCATAAAAATAGCCTTTTTTTTTTTTTTTTTTTTTTATATTCTACCCTTGACATCTTTGCCCAGGATCCTAACAAATATAGCATGAACTGTAGTAGTTCAGTATTAGTTTTTAGGACTAAAGCTAATACTGAATTCACACATCATAAAATGTGCTACTATCTGATGTGAAAAGCAAGAATGATTGTTTAAGACACTGTCTTGCTTGATGGATATTAAACCTAGTCTAGTGTCTTGGTCAAGGATTCCATCACCCATATCATTACTTTATCCTTTTAATTCTTCTCCTTTCCCATGTCATTTCTTTGCTGGTATTTCACTTTAGTATCTGTGTTTGTATTTTACAGTTGACAGTTTGAGTTTGGGGTGCATCTCTAGTGCTTATAGGAATCTGTCTGAAGCTTAATTTTCGGTGAATCGCCAGATAGAGGTGACTGAGTTCGAGCACTGCATTTGTTTAGGATCAGGAATGGGTTCAAACTGGCTGATTATTCTGGGGTGAGAAGGGAAGTAGTGGGACACTAAATATTTTTAATATTTGTAAAATGGAAAAGAAAACATGTAAACTGTCTTCACACACCTTTTGCTGTTTTTGTAAGTCCATTAAACCCACTAAAATATTTCATGAACCTCTAAAACAAGGCAATCCAAAAAAGGAAATATGTGATCAAGGAGTGCAAAATAAAATTGGCACGTGAGACTTCCATGGTAGCATGTGGTGATAGTGCTGCTATCTTCTGTGTGAGCCAGAGTGTAAATAAATGTTCAGGCTCTTAGGTAACACACTATACACTATTATTTGTATTCCTTTTGCTGGTACTTTCTCAAAGCCCTTCACAAACAATACCCCAAGAAGCAATTGGATAAATATTTTACCAATATAGAAGCAAAGAGGCTGCCATTATTTCAAGTCCACACTTGGAATGAGTTAGTAACAGAGCTACAGTCAAAGCTTTACGTGTTCCCAATCTAATGATGAGAACTTGAAACCATGCTGAAAATCACATAAGGGAAGAGGACAGTCCAGTTTGCAGGCATGAAAACCCATGTGGGCTGTTTTAAACTAGGATTTGGTGAGACATAAGCATCTTATAGAAGAGCTGGTTACAAAAAATAAGCTTGGCTGAAGTTGTCCTGAGTTGATTCAATCTAAATGGAAGAATAAGCAAAAAATAGATCTCTAAATATAGCTTTATGTTTTCAAAGGGCAAACTTTGAGAAAGTAAGGGAATTGGGTAGAGAAATCAATAGAACTGATGAGCTCGAGGGCCTCACTGTAGAATAATCTTAGTCTTTCCACATTTGACTTAAAGCAGCAGTGGTCAACCCTCTGGCCTCATGGGCCAGATGTTGGCCTGCAGGCTGGATTCAGTTCGGGGTCAGTGCATGGGGCTGGTCTGTGACTGCAGTCCCTCATGCCAGATCCAGCCACTAAGCAACCCATCAACCTGGCTCCATGTACTGGTCCAACCCTGTGTGTTGGATCCAGCCATGGAGTGGCTGGCCCACAGGGCTGTGTCACCCAGCCCACAGGGCTTCCCAGATGTCTGGAAATTTGGCAGCAATAGCAGAATTAACTGCCATGACTTCCAGAGCCATAGCAATTAATGCTGCCACCACCATTCCACTTCTGTCAAATTTCCAGACCTGTAGGGAGCCCCACGCTCTGGCGGTTGATCACTGACTTGGAACAGTTTGATCTGAAATTTGCTCTGACCCTTGTTTGGGATGCAGTTGTAGAGAGGGTCTCCAGGTCTAACAGAATGAATAAATATCATGGCAAGGAAGTGGAGAGATTTCAGAGAATGGGAAAAGGAACTAATAAGCAAAGAAAGGTTGTGACTAGCACATTACAAAATGGAGAGAAAGTGAGAATTGCAAAGGAAACTCAAATGGGTGGGAAAAGGTTCTTTAGCTATGTATATAAATGGAGAATAAGGAAAGTATAAATGGGGTATTGTGCTGTGAGAATGGGATTGAGGCCAAAGACCATCAAAATATGGTCCAAAATCCAGTTGAACTGTGTGCCTCGGTTTTCAACAGAGGTGAAGATTCATAGAAGTAGGGTCAGAGGGGACCTGAGCAGATCATCTTGTCCGACCCCCTGCCTTGGGCAGGAATGAGTACAGGGTTCATATGACCCCCTACTAAGCTTAAGCTCAAATGACCCCAACTAGGTAGTTATCAAGCCTTCTTTTAAAGACCCCTAAGGTAGGAGCCAGCACCACTTCCCTTGGAAGCTGGTTCCAGATCCTGGCCGCTCTGACTGTGAAGTAGTGCCTTCTGATGTCTACCCTGAACCTACTCTCAATCAACTTGTGGCTGTTTGTTCCTTGTTACTCCAGGGGGTGCTCGGGGGAACAGGGTCTCAACCAATCCCCTCTGGTCCCCCTGGTAAGTTTATAGACAGCCACTAGATCCCCCTCAGCCTTCTCTTGTGAAGGCTGAACAGGTTCAAGTCCCTTAGCCTCTCCTTGTAGGCCCTGCCCTGCTGCCTCCGATCATGTGAGTGGCCCTCCTCTGGACCCTCTCGATGCTGGCCTAATCCCTCCTGAAGCGCGGCGCCCAGAACTGGACACAGTGCTCCAACTGTGGCCTGACCAGTGTCGCAAAGAGGGGAAGAATCGCCTCCTTGGACCTGCTCATGATGCATCTGTGGATACATGACAAGGTGCGGTTAGCCTTGCTGACCGCGTCCTCACATTGGCAGCCCATATTCATTTTGGGATCGATCATGACTCCAAGATCTCTTTCTGCCACTGTGCTTTCAAGAAGGGAGTCCCCCAGCCTATAGGTATGCTGCTGGTTCTTCCTGCCCAAGTGCAGTACCCTGCACTTGTCAGTATTGAATCCCATCCTATTCACATTTGCCCACCCCTGTAACCTGTCCAGGTCCAGTTGTATCCTGTCCCTCCCTTCTAGCATGCCTACCTCGCCCCAAATCTTGGTGTTGTCAGCAAATTTAAACAGGGTGCTTTTTACCCCCTTGTCCAAGTCGCTGATAAAGAAATTGAACAATACAGGCCTGAGGACCGAGCCCTGGGGGACTCCACTGCCCACCTCCCTCCAGGTTGAACATGACCCATCCACCACCACTCTCTGGGTGTGGCCCCCTAGCCAATTTGCGACCCATCTGACTGTGTAGGCATCAATGCCACAGTCACCTAGCTTTTTAATGAGAATGGGGTGGGAAACGGTGTCGAAGGCCTTCCTGAATGCCAGAAAGACTACATCCACTGCATCCAATGATTTTGTGACCTGATCGTAGACGGCTATCCGGTTGGTCTGACAGGACCTACCCTTAATGAACCCATGCTGGTTGCCCTTGAGCAACCTCCCCCTTGCTGGTCCCTCCCAGATGTGCTCCAGGATAATTTTTCAAAGAGCTTCCCCAGGATCGAAGTAAGACTAATGGGCCTATAGTTGCCTGGGTCCTCCCTCTTCCCTTTTTTGAAGATGGGGACCACATTAGCTTTCTTTCAGTCTTCTGGCATTTGGCCATAGCACCACGAGTCCTCATAAAGCCGTGCCAGGGGCCTCGTGATGACCCCTGCCAATTCCCTCAGCACCCTGGGGTGGAGCACGTCTGGACCTGCTGATTTGAACATGTCCAGTCCTTCCAAAAGTTCCCTAACTTGGTCCTCCCTGACCCTAGGCCTGGCAGAGTCTCTTTTGAGTCCGTCCTGTACCCTGGTGGGGGAGAAGTCATGGCCCCTGTTCAGAAAAATGGAGGCAAAGAATTTGTTAACCACCAGATTGCCAAGTGTATCCTGCAGGGGCCCCATGTTGCCTGGTGTCTTCTTTTTGCGCCCTATGTATTTAAAAAAAGGACTTTTTGTTGTCCTTGATCCTTGTTGCTAGCCCTAGTTCCGTCTCTGCCTTAGCCTTCCTAACAGCCTCCCTACATACTCTTGTTATGGAGGTATAATCCTCTTTGATAGCCCCCACTTCCACTGGATATACGCCTCCTTTTTTGGCTTTCAGATGTTTCTGAATGCCCTTAGTGAGCCAAGGGGGCTTTTGAGCACTCTTGCCCGCTTTGACTCGCGTTAGAACTGTCACCCCTTGTGCTTGGAGGATCGTCTCCTTAAGGAACAACCACTCGTCTTGGACACCTAGTTCCCCTACTTTCCAGAACTGCAGTGCCTCTCCTACTAATCTCAACTTGTTGAAGTTGGCCCTCCTGAAGTCAAGGTCTACTGCCTTGCTGCAGGCCCTTGACACCCTGTGCTGGATGGTGAATTCCAGTAGGCGATGATCGCTATTGCCCAGGTGGTCGAGGACCTGGAGTCCCCTCACCAGCTCGTGGCCAGGACCAGGTCCAGCAGGGCATTCTCCCTGGTGGGACTGTGCACCTCCTGGGTTAGGTGGAGGTCTTGTATCCCAGCAAGGAACCTACGCGAGTGGTCAGACCTGGCTGACTGTTCCTCCCAGCAAATGTCCGGGTAGTTTAGACCACCCATGACGACCGCATCCCTTGATTTAACTGCCTCCACGAGTTGACCCGAGAATTCGTAGTCCAACTCTTCCCCCTGGTTGGGTGGTCTGTAGTAGACACCCACTGTTAAGTCCCTTTCCCCGCGACCCCCTTGTATTCTGACCCAGAGCACTTCAGCCTGCCCCTCCTCTGACCCCATCCTGTTAAATGAGGACGTGTATGTTCTTTGATGTAGAGCGCCACCTCCCCACCCCCCCCGTTCTGTCCCACCTGTATAGTCTGTAGCCCCTAATGTTTTACCACCCAATCGTGGGTTGAATCCCACCAGGTTTCAGTGAGCCCTACTATGGCTGGGTTTGTACTAGCTATCTGGAGGGCAAGTTCCTCCTGCTTATTTCCCATACTTTGACCATTAGTGTAAAGGCATTTAAGGCCTTCTGTTGGTGCATGCACCCCACCCAGATTCCTAGGACTATCTGGACCCTTGTCGCTTACCTAGGTACCTCTTGTGCTCATCGCCCGTCTTGGTTGGGAGGTGTCCTCATGTCTTCCTGTGGCCCCATCCCCCAGCGAAACTAGTTCAAACGATGCTGTATGCGATCAGCCAACCTGGAAGAGAAGACACGCTTGCCTTTAGGGGAGAGGTGAAACCCATCCCACCCGAGCATGCCCTCTGAGCAAAAATGCAGGTCGTTTTCCAGGAACCCAAGGCCTGCCTGGTGGTAGCAACCCCGAAGCCTCCAATTGACCTCATTGATGCAGGCCTCGTGACGCTGTCCACGTCTACTTACTGGGAGAATAGAGGAGAATACCACCTGTGCCCCCGTCTCCTTGAGCTTGGCCCCCAAGGCCTCGTAGTCCTTCATGATGCGGTCTGGGTTGCCCCTGGCCTTGTCATTTGTTCCCACATGGATTAGGACCCTGCGGTACTGGTCCGAGGGTCAAATGAAGGCCAGGATCCTCCCTGACATTCTGAATCCGAGCCCCAGGCAGGTAGCGACCTCCTGTGCCATGGGGTCGGGTCGGCAGATGGGACCCTCCAATCCCCTCAGGATGGAATCTCCGATGATGAGATAGAGGCTAGCTTGCTAATGGAAGCAGGATATGGAGCTGTGGACTGGAAACGACACATGTCTGAGGGTGGAAGGAAATCTCAGTTTAACATGCACAGCCTGGGGATGATCAGAAGGAACTGGCTTATGATATTGAGATCCAAATCTTTCAAATGGAAAGTGGTGTCATGTGACTGGAGAATAGCAAAAGGCAGTGCAGGGTGACACCTTAGAGCAGGGGTGGGCAAAATGGCAGTCGGGTAGCCAGACTCCATTTCCCAGCAGCCCTTCCATGGAGACCCCAGGTGTGGCGTGGGTGGGGCATGCAGCTAGATGAGGAGCTGCACTGGGGCTGGGGCCTTGCATTAGTGATAGCACATGGCCAGAGCTGGGGCAGAGCCATGATCCTCTGCTTGCATGCCCCTGTCTGTGCAACCTGCACTCATCGTAGGGGTGTGCAGGCAACAGCTCACAGCTGTGCCATGGCTCACCCTCTCCCACAAGATCCCAGCATCTCCCAGCCCTACTTACCCATCTTGCTTCCAGCTGTGGCCCCATCCCAGCCACCCACCCGCATCTTCTGCCTGCATGGGTCCTGCCCCTGGTGGTGGGTGCCCGGGAAGCCAGAAGAAGCTGTTGCCATAGGGGCTGCTGGCAAAGAAAGCCCACTATGGGCCCGATCTGACCCATGGGCCAGACTTTGCCCACCCCTGCCTTAGAGACTGAGTGCTTCAGAAGGACATAAGTTTTTGCGGGCAGCGTGGCATCTGATGAAGTAGGTTCCACCTACAGAAGCTCCTGGTCTCTAAGGTGCCACTCAGCTCTGACTTCAAACTGACATGGTTAACTACCTCTTTCTATTCATGGATAATAATAAAGGCAGTAACTATATGTAAGAAAAGGAGGGGAAATGATTCAGGCAGCCACACACCCATTTGGTTGACCTCGGTACCATGTGGGATTGCAAAACAAATTGACTAACATGGAGGTAAAGAGAAAATGGAATAAAATGCAACACAGGTTTATCACAGGTGGGTTATACTGAACTAACTTAATACTTTACTTGGATAAGGTAACTGGTTTTTCAGACAGGAAATGTTTTTTAGATTGAACCTGGACTTCAGAAAAGTATTTGATATAGACAAATTTTCAAACTGGAGAAGATGGGATATTAATGCAAGGTTGGTGAGGAATTATCTGAAGGGGAGATGGTAATGGGTGATGGTAGAAAAGAAAGTTTCAGGATAGAGCACGGGTGGGCCAAGTATGGCCCACGGGCCAGATCTGGCTCGCCAGCTGACTGGATCTGGCCTACAGTACTTCACATGGGGCCAGTCCAAGAGCAGCAAAGCAGGAGCAGGAGTCTCAGCTGGAGTTAAGGGGAGCAGAACAGCCCAGGCCCCAGCCAGTGTATGCAGCTTCTGGTGGGGATGTTCCCGGTGTGGTTGCTGTCAGCCAAGTGCTACTCTGCTCCCTTTACCTCCAGCGGTAGCTCCTCCCACTCCTCCCCCTACTGCATTGCTTCAGCTGAGCGGCTCCAACTGGAGGCAAGGGGAGCAGCACCTGGCTATCTGCATCTGTACCAGGAACAGCCCTGCCAGAAGCTGCATGCTGACTGTAGCTGGCAGGTGCAGATGGGACTGCGGCTCAGGCTATCTTGGGTAGGGATTGGCCCCATGCAAGCACTGTGGGGGCAGCTGTGAACTGGGTGAGCTCTGCTGCGTATGCCTCATCCTCCCTCCCCTCACCACTGGTTCTCTCCCAGGCAGTTCCCCCACCTCCCTCCATGCACATTCCCCATACACATCCCAACCCCCGCCAGGCAGGGCATGCAGAGAGCAGATCACACCCATCCCTCTCCCAAACACTGCTCCCTGCCCACACAAAGCCCATAGGATTTGTGGTGACTTGTTGCGTGTGGTAGGGGAATGCTGACCCAGGTCACAACAGCTCAGCAAAACTCACTATGTAGCCCTCAGGCCCAAATAATTGTCCACCTTTGGGCTAGAGGGTGTTCCTGAAGGATTAGTATTGTGACCAGCCTTATTTGTATGTTAATGTTAGGTTCCATTTTATCTTAGTTCAGAAGTGTGTAATAGAAAAAAATGGAAAGTTAGTGAAGATGTATTCACTGGTGCATCACTGTCATTGTCAGATGTAGTATTCCAAGTCTTTTTTTTTTTTAACTACTTTAGATTTTGTGCCTGTCACCTTTATGCTTCCTGCTGATTACAATCTCTTTGTTGAAGAATTCAGAAAAAATCCTTCCAGCACCTGGATTATGAAACCTTGTGGAAAAGCTCAAGGAAAGGGGATATTTCTTATTAATAAACTCTCTCAAATTAAGAAATGGTCTAGAGACAGCAAAACATCTTCGTAAGTTTAAAATAGGTTTACAGTCTTTTGTTATAACCTACTAGCCAATTGCCTGTCAAGAATGACAGGTGGGGGGGTAGAGGAGGGGCATCACAGATGGAGTGCTACCACCTAAAGCCCTATGCTGCCACTGTTCTGCCACTTACAGGGTGGGGGGTCGAGGCCGGCTCCCCAACCCTCTGTCTCGTCATTGGCATGGCTTTGGAATCATGGTGGCACTCCCCCATGCTTGGAGCACTCTGATTGGCTGTTTCCACCAGAGTGTGAATGAAGCATTATGGACAGACTTACTTAGCCTTTTATAATATTAGAATTAGTGTTAGGCATGTTTTATAAAACAGAGATCTTTCTCTGTGCAAAAAGCCATTAAGCATTAATTTGGCAGAGCTATCATTTTTCTCTCTCTCTTTAATGTCACTTAAAACCTGTTGACCTTCTGATTCTGTTTAGTGCAAATTATTCCATTTGGTGCTGCGTGACAAGCAGTCATTTAGCAAACTGTGGAAATATGCTTTCAGTGTAGATCTGGGGTTTGTATGTCTAGATAGGCAAGGGAGGAAAATGTCATGGGCAGGCTGGAATAACTATTTTGCTGCTTGATTTTGAAGACCTGGGAGTTAAAGGAGAATCTTTCATTAAGTGATTTAATTTTCAGCTTTGGAAAGGTCATGTGACCACTGTGCATACCTCCCTAGTCAAATGAATCATGAAAACCAGGCACTGTTCTGAGAAGAAAAGACTGGCCTGTCTGAACTCCCTCCCCATGAGGCCTGGAGAGAGGAGCTATCAGCTGTGGCTCATTACTGTAGTTCAGTGCAGAGAAAACAGCTGGGCCCTGTGAATAGGAAGCACAGACAAACTAGGGCATTCATTGGGAAGAAGGAAGAGAGAAAAAGAAAGAACATGGTGGGGGGGAAGGGTCTGTTACTCTTGTTGGTATTGTAACCCATCTAATATGGCTCTTCTACTAAAAGGGAAATCTTTATTGCTTAGTTTTTGACAATCCCCTTCTAATAAAGACAGTAACTACAGGCAGTTGTTTTCACAGTGGGGGAAGAAAAAAAAACATCTGAAGAACAATTTTATGGTTTCTCCTTAAGTTGTTTTTTCTACCCTGGCTTGAAAGGGTTGGTGATTGCCCTCCAGATTAATAGCAAGGCAACACTAGCCTGATTGTGTTAGAATACATATGAATAAGGGTTGTTGAAGTGGAAACTCAATATTGACATTAAATTGGTTTGATAGTTTTTAAACCATAAGTGTAACTTCTTGATGAAATGTAGTCTCTAAGGCCTCAGTGCCTTTGTTTATGGGTCTTTTGGATAAATGTAGCTTGCTGAATCTGAGTCTAATATGCATGCTACCCTACAATGCTTAAAGCTTATCTTGTTCATTTGTTTTAACTGCTTTGCATACATGATGCAAACTTGTCCTGCACACATTAACTAGGGAAATGTTAAATGTTAATGGTACTATAGGATTTCTGTCAGAATGCTTCTGAGGAAGGGAAAATATTTTTGTATAATAATCACATTCGAAATGTAGAAGATTTGGTTTTGTTTTGGTTTTGTTTTATAGGTTTGTTTCTCAATCTTCTTCTAAAGAAGCCTATGTGATTTCTCTCTATATCAACAATCCTTTACTGATTGGAGGGAAGAAATTTGATCTCCGCTTGTATGTGTTAGTGTCTACATATCGTCCACTCCGATGTTACATGTAAGATTATATAGATTTGTCCCTTAAAAAAGAAATACCTTTGTTCTCATTGGCTAGAGAAGTTTTTAATGTTTGTTTTCCTCAACTTCAGTTGCATTTAATATATATTTTAATACTTTTTTTTTCTAGGTATAAACTTGGATTTTGCCGGTTTTGCACTGTAAAATATACTCCAAGTACAAGTGAGCTAGATAATATGTTTGTACATCTTACAAACGTTGCCATTCAGAAACATGGGGTAAGTGTTATGAGTTTTTTTTTTTTTTTTAAATGTTCATTTGCAATCTAATATTAGGCATGGCCAAGCAAACTATTGAAATGACTATTAAGAACAAAGGGGAAGGCTGGTTCTTCAGGAATATGCTTACATTTTCTAATGTGTATTTGTGGGAGTGTGTAAAACACAAACATGACAGCAAGCTGTGCTGTTTTCAGTTTTTGTTTGGCAATTTCCTGAGGGCCTTGAGGCAGGTATGAGTGATACAACATGCTCCAGTTGTGGTCGAGCTCTTTGTTAACTACTCCCGATTGTGTGGTCATCTGTCCCATCTCATCCATTCAGCCTGTCAGGACAAGTGCTTTGTCATCAGAGTAGATTCGAAGAGGATGAAGCTTTTAGTCTATATCTGCTAGCTGAACTCTGGGATCCTAAGGCATTTTTCATGGAGGAACTATTGAGAACAGCATGTTTCAGATGCTGGCTTTTGTACACATTTTCAGACACGAGGCTGTAAATACATGCAGAAGCTTCTTGGGCCTTGTACTCATGAGTGAACTGTCTTCCTCTATAGGTTCTCTTCATTTTTGCTTCTAGGTATGTTGTAGCTATAATATAACAACCTTTCATAACAAGTAGTTTTGACAGCTCTCAAAGAAGAGCCTTTTAGTATTCTAAAAATTATGTTCTGGCATATGGAGGAGCTTCATTAGTGTGCATGTACTTTTAGCTAGCTCAAAACTACCCTGTTTTTTTTTTCTCTGCCATTCTAACCCAATATATTTCAAGGCTCCTCAAGTAAGCCTCCTGGTCACAGCTGCAGTATAGATTGTAATGTAGTAGTGCAGCCAAATGGGGTTTTTTTAAATATTAAAATTATTAATTATATTTCCAATAAGATGCTGCAAAAATGTATAATTTCAGTATCTTCATGACGTATTGGTATTTGGTGTCTCTCTCTGCATGCTGGTTTTAATATTAATTTATTTTCTGGCTTGGAAAATGTCTAATAAACCACACTTGTAATGAATAGACCATTAAACATAAATGAAAGATATTTAAATATAAGTGCTAAATTAGCAGTATATTAACAGCAGTACAGTTACTGTTAAATATATCAGTCTTCCTCAAATAAAACCCAAGCTGTTTCCTTTCTGTTTGGGAAATCAGATTGCCTAGTCGTCACCTCCGCTTCCTCTGTCCTCTGCTTGGTCATTAAATAGACAAAACGTGGTTTTTGTCGGTTTGTTTTTGGTACTTCGTACTTGAAATTCCCACAAAGCAAGTTTTAATACCCATTTCTGCATTTTAAAAAATGTAACTCGATATAGAAGTGATAAGAACGTATTCCATGTTTATATAATAACAGTAGAAGCTGAGCTTGACCTTTATAAACCATCATGTAGCAAAACAAACTGAAAAACCCAGCAACTTTCTGCTTAAAAACAAATTTTAAGTTTTCTGTGCATGAGAACAAAACTTCTAAATAATAGCAAATTCCTTGAGACTGAATTAATGTCTTAATTCTCTAGGATGACTATAATCACATTCATGGAGGCAAATGGACAGTGAGTAACTTGCATCTGTATCTAGAGAGCACTCGTGGAAAGGAGGTCACTAATAAGCTGTTCAATGAAATCCATTGGATAATTGTACAGTCACTGAAGGCAGTTTCAGTAAGTAATGTTAATGAAATAGTGGCAGTGATAGCTTTGTGGCTGCAACCTCTGAGTTCCCCTGAAAATAACCGTGAAGAAATTTACCTCCTGCTAATACAGCGGTGGGCAAGATGCGGCCCACCAAGCCATTCTGTCTGGCCCACAGGGCCCCTAAAAAATTTAGAAAATTAATATTAATCTGCCTTGGACTGCCTGTCATGCAGCACTCGATGACTTGCCAAAACTCAGTAAGCGGCCCTCTGCCCAAAATAATTGCCCGCCCCTGTGCACTTTTAAAACACTAAAATTGTGGATACTTCTGAGCTCTGCCTGTGCCCAAGATACTGTTTTGGTCATACCAAGTTTCATAGTTGTTAGGGGTTGGAAGGGACCTTACAGATCATCGTGTCCTGTCCGCCTGCACTTGGGCAGGAAAGACTACTGGGATCAGACAACCCCAGCAAGATGGGCATCAAGACACCTCTTGAAGATTGCCAGAGTGGGTGACTGTACCATCTCTGGGGGGGAGCCTGTTCCAAACCCTTAGCACTTGCCTTGTAAAGAAGTTAATCAAAGAGAAACTAAATCTGAAAGACATTATGTCACAGAAGGTTGGGAATGTTACAGATTAGTAAGCTTGTGTGATTTTTTTGCAGTTCTGTTAAACGAGAAATGGTGTTATCCAAAACCCATGTAAAAATAACTCATTAATGGCTTGACAGGGCTTTAAAATGCGCGAGTACCTTCACTGAGTAACTTTATGCATTTGCAGAAGACAGGCTTCCCGAAGTGCTGAATCAGAGGCAAGAAGAAAAGGTAGCCTGTCTCAGTATTAACAGAGCTGTTAAAGAGAGTAAAAACTGTTGGGGAGGGAAGGAAAACAAATACAGGGAGGGAATGTGTTGATACTTTTGTCTCCTTTGTGCTTTTGGAGCATGAAAAAAATACTTCTCCAATAAAGTTTCCTTCCTTCGAAAACCACTCTAAATAAAGCACCGCAGCATCTCGTGTCTTCAGTGTCCAGCACTTCAAAATGGCAGTGGGGGTGCTTTAATTAAAGCTCATTCAACAAGCTTCCGTTAAAGTGCCCCCACTGCCATTCTGATGTGCAGGGATGCTGAATGTGTGAGATGCGGAGGCTGCTGGAGAATGCTAATTAGCTCGCACTAGCAGACTCGGTTGAGTCTGCTCCGTGCTGTAATTACAGCCTTTATAAAGTGTAGCTACAGTGTGTCAGAGCGGCATCCTCACACGCATACAGGCACCCATTGCTGCTTGTGCTATCCCTTGAGGACCACAGAAAATGGCCTATTTCTATCTTCATTATAATCGCCCTTAAGATATTTGAAGACTGATCAAATCCCCCTTAGTCTTCTCTTCCCCAGAGTAAATAAACCTGACTTTCTATTGCAAAAAGGTATTTAATGCTTTTGTTTTCATGTGATGCATTTAAAATGGTATTTTAAATCCTGCAATACTGTAGGATATGCAGATGACAATTTTCATCAAAGCTCAATAATCAAATATTATCCATTAATATAATTACTATCATAATAGTCAGAGCTGGAGAAGATGACATTTACCTTGAAAAAATAAAGGTAATCCTAAATACATTAGTAAAATGTTATCTTTAAGAGTAGAAAATGTTTTATGAGAACTGGCATGTAAAACTAGTGCCCTGTATATGTACCACATGGCAAAATAAGTCCATAATCTTTGAAGCTGCTTAGCAAGTTTTTATCCTTTAATGCTTCTTTTTAATTTGTTTCAGCCTGTAATGAATAACGATAAACACTGCTTTGAGTGCTATGGATATGATATTATCATTGATGACAAGCTTAAACCATGGCTTATTGAGGTAAAGTGTTGGAGGACGTATAAACAAACATCCTCATTGTTTCCTTTCACACAACAGCTGAGAAGAGTTCATCTGCTGTTTTGAAGCCTGAGACTTCCCTTTTTTCAGATCAGTGTAGATTGGGAAGGCTGTTGCAAAGTAGGGCAACAGAATAGCTTTTGGGACTTGCAGCATGTCCAAATTCAAGAGTAAACTTGTGGCCTTCTGCTCAACAGACTGGTAAAATCCAGGTGCATTCACAATATACTTGGACTCCTGCGGTTTTATGAATGCCAACATCTTTAATGCGCCAGTAGCTGTAAAATTCGTATGCACTCAGTCACGTGTAAATCTAGACCTGCTAAAGCTCAGCTGTTGTCCACAGCACAGCTCAAACGTAGCAAAGCTAGAAGAAAGGATACACGTAACAGGAAGGCAAATTTAAGATGACACATGGTTATATAATTTTCTCTGGTTCACTAATTTCTACTTTAGGGTCAACATAGTCTCTCTCCTGCTTCACTTTACCCAAATCTTATTAGTAAGCTTACATTTTAAAAGCTAGCAGTTCTTTGTTTGGATGCCAGCTTACATTTATAATTATCTAGCAAATTTGTTTGTATTTATTAATTGGGCATAAACTAAATAGAGAGTCCCCATAGCAAAAGGCTTCTTACACATTTTACTGGCCAAGAAGACTGTGACAATGAGGAGTTCAGAGAAGGCTTACAAATCAGAGCAGTTTGTTCATAATAAATAGGTCTGTGAGGCCCATATGTAACAACTGCCCAGCTGAGGTAAATGAGAAATGTTAACTTTTTGTTGTTGTTGATGTTATCTCAACTTATAAACCCAAAAGTGCTGCTGAATTTAGTTTGAACAAAAAAACCCTTCAGTCAGATCCTGAAGGGAATTTACTGATAGTGATAGAAAATATGAAATGGACAGCTCAGTTTCTTTTTTTTTTATGGTTTTCTGTTGAGATGTGGACTAATTTCCAGGCTAAAACATGGTAGTGTTGTTAAGTTCTGTATAAGAAACTATGTGTAAATGTAAATACTGAATAGGAAATATTTGTTTCTTTTGTAGGTCAATGCATCCCCTTCTCTTACCTCCAGCACAGCCAATGATCGCATCCTCAAATACAATCTTATTAATGATACACTTAACATTGCGGTGCCTAATGGGGAAATTCCAGATTGTAAATGGAATAAATCTCCACCAAAAGAAGCTCTTGGAAGTTATGAAGTCTTGTAAGTTTTACCCATGTCCTATGTTAATGTGAATAGCTTTGTCCCTTGAATGAGGAAGAACTTTTATGACAGGCCAAATAGATTAAATGAATTTCTTCGTGGTGTGAAAGATGGACAGAAAGGGCTCTGTGCACATCAGCAGTATGTTTGGAGCTGGAATAATACTGGCATTGATATGCTTTCAAGTAAAAAGTTGAGTTGTGGGCTGTCCATTGTTGAAGCAGTTATCACTCTTTAAGATGCATAGTAATCCACATTGCATTGAGTATAATATATAAGTAACAGTTATACATGAATGTGTATCAAGAAAATAAATACGTTGTTAATTCATGTAAATGTTGTCACTCAGCTCTTGCAATTCATAGAAGTGATGTTAAAACAATGGAATTCCAAGATTTTTATAGTTGACTGTAATGTGTGAATTAAACTCATGATATACCTTCAGCTCTAATATTTCCCTTTAATTTGGGATGTATTTAGAGGGATGCTGAAGAAAATACCCCAATGCAGTTGGAACTACCTAAATATTTTGAACCTATTTAAGATCTAATACTACTGTAGTAGTGTTAACTGCCCAACTTCTGGACAGCATGGGGGAGGGGGCTGTGTGCTGTAGTGGTTGCAGATGGGTCTTCCTTGCTGTGCCAGCACAGCTACCTCCTGTTTACTGTGCAGCAGAAGCTGTGTAGCTTCTTTCCCAGCTGCATGCTCAAAGTGGCAACTCAGCCTCTCTTGCCACGTGGGCAGCCCAGCTCTCCTATTAGTGCCCAAACAGCAGCTTCCCTCTGCACTACTTCCACGAGCAGGGGCAGGAGCAGGAGCCAGAAGCAGGAGGAGGGAATGGGAACCTGGAGACCCCTACTGTCACAGCAGACAGAACTATGGAGGAAGTGAGCCTGGGCCAGAGCCCAGAGGCTGCACCTTAACCCTTCATAGGCCACTTGCAACCTGCAGTCTGCCAGTTGGACAGCCTTGTACTAGTTTATGCCGTCTTTTTAACACCCCGGTCCTTCAAACACTTATAAACATGAATACATTTACTGTTATAGGATCATAGGAAAATAGGGCTGGAAGAGACCTCATGAAGTCATCTATCTAAACCCCTGCTCAAGGTCGAATCATTCCTGACTACAGCTACCCTAGCCCCAAGTGTCTGTTTAACCTGCTCTTTCAAATTTACAGGAATGGAGATGCCACAACTAGGTAGCCTGCTCCTAATGCTTAACCACCCTCATAGTCAGAAAGTTTTTTTCCTAGACTCCAATCTAAATTCCCTCTGCTACAGTTTGAGGGAATTGCTCCTAGGCTTAGACTTTTCTCTGTGGGTGCAAGGGACATCTCCACCCTTTTCTCTAATTACCCTTTAGGTACTGGAAGACTGTGGGGGGATTTGATAAGTTTTCTCTTCCCCAGACTGTTCTTTCATCCTGTCCTCATAAGTCATGCTTCTCAAGCCTATAATAATTTTTATCGCTCTCTGCTGTACTCTTTCCAATCTCTCCACATCTTTCTAGAAGTGTGGGGCCCAAAATGTTACATGTTCATAAATGTTTGCAACATTTGGAGTTAATTGTTTTATCTGGTAGCTATATTTCATATTGGTTAATGGGCCAGAAATGAGCATTATTTCTTCAGAAAGTGTTATACTAATATCACTTTTATTTGTTGCTTGCTATGGTATTCCTTAATTTTGAGCCAAATTATGCCCTTGGATACACCCAGTAACTGAAATTAATGGAAAGCAGGGATATCTGATGCCATTGTGGGTTTATACATTTAAAGAGACACTTGCTGCATTACGTCGATTGTCAAGAAACTACATTCTGTTTAAATACCATCTACTTTCTAATTTGCCAATTCTTATGTGAATCATTTACTGGTGTCACAATTCAGTCAGTCATTCTGGAATTCCAGTGGCTCCTATATTTGTGCTGGATGGTGATGTTACTAAACAAGTAGTCTTATCTTCTTACTTACCTGTGAATCTATAGGAACAGTGGGAAGAAATACATGAGTGATAATTAGCTTCACAAATTTCTGTAGCTAATTTTCTATGTTACTGATCAAAAAACCCTTATCATAAGTTTGCCAATTTAAATATTTATTGAAGTATAACGGCAAGTGCTCGCTTTTCTAGTCATATAAACTTTTAGCCGCATAACTCAGTTTGAACAGTGACATATTAGACTACCATGTAAGTCAGGGGCAGGCAATTATTTCAGGTGGAGGGCTGCTTACCCAGTTTTGGCAGGCCGTCGAGGGCCCCTTGACAGGCGCCCCGCCCCCTAGTCACCATCTTGGGACCAGTGTCCCAATGTGTTGGGACCAATGTCCCAGGGCCAGCACTGATGGGGCCCAGAGCAGGGCACAGGCTGGCAGGGGTCTGTGGAGCCGGGCTGGGCTGCACCAGCCGGGAGAGAGGGAGCTGGTCCGGCTCCATAGAGGCCCTGCCGGCCGGGACCCCACGCTCCTGCCACCCTACTCTGGGCCCTGCCAGCACTGACCCTGGGGCACCAGTGTAGGCCCTGTGCTCCTGCTGGCTCCCGCACCTGCTTACTCCCAGTGCCCCCCAGCCCCACGGTATAGGCAGGGGGCAGCACACAGCCCCGATCCCTTGCTTGCTGGCAGGGTAGAAGCTGGTGTTGAGCATGGGGAAAAGCGGCCCCTAGCCTGCCCCATGGCTGGTGCTTTCTGCTTCCGGCCCCTTCTGCCCCTGTGTGG